GCTTCATCAGATGGATGTTAAGACAGCGTTTCTCAATGGTGACATTGATGAAACTATTTATATGGTGCAACCAGAAAATTTTGTGATCGGAGATCCAAAACAAATGGTTTGCAAATTAACAAAATCCATCTATGGGCTAAAACAGGCTTCCCGTCAATGGTATCACAAATTTCATCAAGTCATTTTATCCTTCGGTTTTAAGATGAATGATATAGATGATTGTGTATATCATAAGTTCAGTGGGCGTAAAATCTTTTTCCTGGTCTTATATGTTGATGACATTCTTCTTGCCACTAATGACATAGGCATGTTGCATGAAACCAAGAGATTTCTATCAAAACATTTTGAAATGAAAGATCTTGGTGAAGCCTCCTTTGTATTAGGAATTGAAATCCTTCGTGAGAGATCACAAGGAATCCTAAGGTTATCACAAAGGAACTATGTCGATAAGGTCCTTAAAAGATTTGGCATGGAAGATTGTAGACCGTGTGATACCCCTATCTCTAAAGGAGACAAGTTTAGTCTCGATCAGTGCCCTAAAACAAATCTGGAAATTCAAGAAATGAAAAAGATTCCATACGCATCTGTTGTAGGAAGTCTTATGTATGCCCAAGTTTGTACACGTCCGGATATTGCGTACATTGTTGGGATGCTAGGCAGATATCTCAGTAATCCAGGAATGGCTCATTGGGTGGCGGCCAAAAGAGTTTTGAGATACTTAAAGAGAACAAGGGACTATATGCTTACATATAGAAAATCAGATCATTTGGAGGTCATTGGATACTCCGACTCTGATTTTGCCGGCTGTAAAGACACTAGTAGATCTACTTCAGGCTATGTTTATCTACTAGCGTGTGGTGCTGTATCTTGGAAAAGTGTTAAGCAAGATATATGATAGCTACCTCAACTATGGAGGCAGAGTTGTTGGCCTGTTTTGAAGCTTCAAACCATGGAATATGGATGCGCAATTTCATTGATGGGCTGAAAATATTACATGATGTTTCAAAGCCTATCAAGATATTTTGTGACAACAATTCTACGGTGCTTTACTCTAACAACAATAAGAGCTCGAGCAAGACAAAACACATTAAAGTGAAATATCGAGCTATTAAAGAAAGGGTTCAGAATAAAAGGGTCGCTATTGAACATATAAGTACAAACTTCATGCTAGCGGATCCTTTGACCAAGGGTCTCCCTCCAAAAGTTTTTCATGAGCACACTGCTCACTTGGGAGTCATTGATTTTAAGGAACCTCAAGTTTAGTGGGAGTTTATAAGTTATGCTTGATGTTCTATTGCTTTATGAATTTATTTTCTGATCAGAATAAAGTTTGACATTTAGTGTATTCTGAACAATTAAGTTATTAAAGTTTAAAGTTTATTAAAGAAGGGTCAGTTGAAAATTTACATGTACATGCCACATTTCATGTAATTTTCATGCTACACATTTCATGATTGATCTATGTCATTATGTTATATTGATATTAGTAATCATTGGTGGTATGGTTATGTTTAACATGACAAAATGCTGCAATGGTTCTATATTAGTATGTCTGATGAACCAGATTGTTTAAGGATGTTATTTTATATGATGGTATTTTTGAGCTCATAAAGATAACACATTTTGTTAAGAATTACATATAAGGCCCAGTGGGAGATTGTTGGAAAACAATAAAAGGGGCCTAATATGTAATTAATTAAAATGTGTTTACCATCAGATAAATAATACAGTGGCTATTCATGAAATAATAAAAGTGTAGATACCAGGATAATATATTTCTTTTGGTGACGGGTCAAATTAAATATATTATACTAAAGTGATACAACGGTTATGACCCCCGGTGCGTGTAAATTCAAAGATAACAGTAAAGATATTGTAACGGAAAATGGCCTAATAAATTATTCTAAATAATATCATTATTGTAATAATAATAATAAAGGAGTTATTAGAATATTAAGGGGCCAACCGTTACAATGAAAAACTACTCCTATAAATATCCCATCTATTATAGGACTAGGACATCTCATATTCGATACACTGCATCGGAAGGTTTAGCCTACTAGCGGTCTTGGATTTCTGGGTCTTCCTAAAGTGTTAATGCAAATGAATTCTCAAGGTATTGTTCTAATCTTATTTCATACATACTAGTATTTGATTTCATGGATTTATATGGATTTAGCTATTATATATTTATATATATATATTGCATACGGAATTTTGTTGATATATATATATATATATGAATATCCATCACTTTATTCTTATATGAACGTTCGTAACTATTTTTATAAGTTTTTGTACACAATCATAATAAAAATTACGTTGTCTCAATGTAGATACTATAATTGTTGGGAAAATGTGTGAAAAATTGCATTAAATGGCTATTTTGAGGCAATTTTTTGAGTGGGTTCCACTTCCGATTTGGGTCGGGTCAAAGTGGTTTCGGATTGTCCTTGCTTAGGGCTACAATTCGATATATGGTACGCTCAAAACGAATAACGGGTGAATGAGAAATTGTTTTTCGAAGTTTACCCGATAGAAGGAAAAAGAATGGGTTTCTAGTGTGTTAATTTCTCACACTGGAAAACCCAAGGGATTTGCAACTCTTTATAAAGGGACTCCCCCCTTAAGGAGTTAAGATTCCTAAGGGTAAAGGCTCTCTCCACGCGCACAGGGGGGTGCAAATCAAATCTCGAATTCAGAGAAGAAAAACCGCGACTTGCGTGTTTGGGCGACCTGCGGACACGAATGTCGTCCAAAAATCCATCTCTCAAGAGATACGGATAATTTTTGTTTTCTTCCCGAAACGTAAATTTTTTCCCAGTTGACAGAATTGCCTAGCGGCAGAAACGCTCCGAACAGAAGGCCTCGACCAGAACACCTCGGTATGGTGTTCTGGTGGCTTCGGGCAGAAGGCCTCGACAGAAACCCTCCTAGGGTTTTCTGCCGGCTTCAGACAGAAACCCTCTTAGGGGTGTTCTGCCGGGTTCGGACAGAAACCCTCCCAGGGGTGTTCTGTTGGGAGGTCTTCTGGTGGCACTTCTGAACCGTTACAGCAATAAATGACCAACGTTCTTATCTTTTAATGCAGCGTTAAATGGACAGTTCATGTACGATTCAATGCCCAACGGACTGGTCATTGATGTCCAACGTTCAGGTCCATTAATTCACCATTTGCACACAACAAATCCTCCTATATAAAGGCTGGCAGGTGGTTTGCAACAACACACGATCTTACACGTTGATACACATTCCTCACGTATTTCTTCAGCTAAAAACCCACCTCCAGTCTCTCTGAAAATTTCCTGAGTGTTCAGTCTTTGTTCTCGTTCGCTGGAACTCTTGTTTGTGTGCTCAAACATTAGTTCGTAGTCATCGTATCCTGGGAAACTATTGTTGCAACACTCCTAGCACCGTGGGAGGCAGCAAATACGTTTTAAGGACATCGTGCGTAGCACGAGCTTTGACTAATTCTGCTTCATCTCCTTTCTTGTTTTTCTCTAGTCATTTTATTTAATTAATTTCTTTTAATTAATTTTCTTTATTTTCCGAAACACACCCAACAATAATTGACATTGTTGGGAAATTTTACCAAAAATAAATAAGGCCGTAGAAAGAAAGTGAGAAATGCCATGGATTTATTTACTTTTAGAAAAAATTGATAACGAATAATCTCACTTTTGCACCTCATCTTCTTTCATTGGACCCTGACCTATTGATGACCTACAAAGGTCAAAGGTGGGATTATTTATATAAAATTTTCAAAGAAAGTCCAATGAAAGAAGATGGGATGCAAAGGTGGGATTATTATGGGACTACGTAAAAGTCATATTATTATAAGAAGACTAGTGAAAGGTGGAATTATTCTTATCAATTTTTCCTTACTTTTATCTATTTCACTCATGTCTATGTGTATCGTGCACACGAAACATTGGAGATATTCTAATAGTGATAAAATAATATTTTATTTATAAATTATACTTCAATAATATTTAAGGGAAATCATTAAAAAAAATAGAGAGAGAAAATCAATGGTGGAATAGAGTACATGGAAAGGTAGAGCTATGACGGAATAGATTTTTGCCACCTAATACACTAATTAGCATTTAATTTTTCAGATACATTAACATTTTTGTTGTATCTTGAATATTAGTAGGACTATAATAAAGAAATACATGCTCCCTCTCTCAAAATTTTGACAAGTTTGACTAGGACAAATTAGAACATAGTAATAAATGTATGTATGATTAATATTTGTAAGAAGAGATTAACAATAGGAACAAAAAAATTATTGACTAAACGGGAAAGTGATAAAACTTTTGTGAAATTCAAAAAAGAAAATATGACAAAAATACAAAATTATGCGAGGGAGTAATTCATACGAGACGGGCAATTTATCCCCAATAGATCTATCAATTAAATAAATAAAAGAATAAATGAAAGTTTTCTACAGTATAATCTTGGGATATTTTGTCTTTGTAGCCTGTTTTTTGAATGGTATTAGACTTTACAGTTTGCACTATATTTTAAGAAAACTTAAACTTTGCACCATATTTCCCCTAAAAATCTTTGACTTTGTAACCCATTAAGAAAGTTTTCTTCACAAAATGTTATACTATAAGGTGCAAAATTTAGGTTTTTAAAATGGGGTGCAAAGTTTCATATCACCCAAAAATCGCCCAGATGCAAAGTCAAACTTCCCCCATAACTTTTTACAAATGATATGTTAACAACATGATCATATCTTATTTGTTTCACAAATGTAAATTTATGGAGTTACAAATATAATTTAGAATAAACAAATCATTTATGAGGATGTAATAACATTAAATTGAATCGGTTATAGGCATATGGTACTATCTATTTCACAAATGGAACTTTAAAATGTTTACTATAACAGTATAACCTAACAAAAGTTTGGAGTTTTTTAAATTATGTATCACAATAAATTTATACTACGTACTTCATATTTAAGAAAGAAAAAACATGTAGTTACTGTGCACAAATATGTTTTTATATAAAGTTCAGAGTATAAATACTATATATGCAAATTTAGGATACTTAACTCACACTCCTTTAAATTCCTTTGGAATTTGGAGAGCAATATTATTTTCCCTCATATGACACTCAGCTCCTAGTTCCTATAGATTATAGAACATCCATTAGCTTGTTTACTCGGACAGTAAACTTAGAGGAAGAGAAACCAAATGGCTTGACAAGTAACTTCCTCACAGTTCGTAATGCAATGTCTGGTGACAAGATTCCCAGTATAAACTGAAGGACTGAAGAGGCCAGTTTATAACAAACAAATGTTCATATTACATACACTGAAATGGTAAAAGAAATCCTATTAAATATACTATACATTGTTTCAAAATCGAAACTCAATAATCTGCTCTCCGACTATTGACTAGGTTCCTAACAAATTCATCTTCCTCACACACATCTTTTTCCCATAGTTCCAGGAAATGTCTGTAAGACTCATCATAGGCAACTGCTTTCCGCAAACAATTGATGGCTTCAAGTTTGCATCCCTCATTGTACAAAACACTGCAATTCATGCTTACTTATTTACGACTTCACTCGGTCCAAAATTTCAACCAAGCTGTTTACCAACTTAGTTCCTTTTTAAAATAGCATTAGAAACATAAGTCGTTTTTAGGGGCATATGGGAAGTTTTTTTTCGAAAGGAGGGGCATATGGGCAGCAGTTCTATACATTTGGAATTTGACATTTGCCGCACCTCACCAGTCCAGTCTTGTTTGGAGGGAGTCCAACATGAACCGGTTTGGGATGGTTTCCGAAACTGCAAACCCATCTGGTTTTGTGGGAGGGGCAGTCCTGGTTTAGTCTGAAGAACCAGATCCACCCCTAACATCACCCCAATATGAGCTTAATCTTTATTTATGAGAGTGACTTTTAGGAGTCTGTAAATAAAAGAAAACAGAGTTATTGGTGTCGGCAATACCTTGAGAATACAACCAAAGCTTCATAGTAATTAGCTTTTGTGTTTGAATCTTCTGGCTCCTTCATCTTTGTTATCCTGTGCAGATGTACGATACTCTCATCGAATTTTCCCTGCATAGAGAAAGGCAATCAGCTTTTAAAAGTAAGACATTGCTTGAAATTCACTGTCTCTCTGAATACAAGAAAAATCTATTTAACATTGAACAGATGGAATATTGTAGCTGAGTGATATTCTGTAAAAGGATGAACTCCCTTTTTACTATCCACACCTCTACATATGAAGATATACACAAATATAGTAGCAGCACAAAAGGTTTTCCAAACTTTGAAATTTTAATTGACCAAGTGATGGCAATCGCCTTTTAATTTATCCAATACTATCTACAAGTTATCCATCAAAATCCCAAATATTGTCATATACTACCTCCGTCCTAAATTGATATGCAAAATTGACTTTTCTTGGTCAAAATGTTTCATTTTATTCAGTTAATTAGGATGTCAATCTATAATTATACTCTAATTTAAAGTTTGCAACTTTGAAAAGTTTTTAATGTAGTTTCTGAATATGTAAATTTTAATTGTTAATTATTAATAAGTAAATCATTTTTTGGTTGACCAAAAAATGTTGACTTTGTAAATCATTTTGGTATGGAGGGAGTAGTAAATAGTAAATTCATTTTCGACCGATCGAATGCAAGATGGTGATTTTAAATAATATAGTGCACCGAGATCAAGGATTGTAAGGATTCAAGATTAATGTAGATGGTGCACTAGACCCAAATAGCTTCACATGTGGGCTTGGCATGGTTGCTCGGGATGAGTTCATATCTTTTGTGGCAGGGATGAGACGACAGTGGAGGGGCAATTTTGCAGCAAGCTTTACTGAACTGATAGCCATAAGGGAAGTGACACAATGGGCTAAGGAAAATGGTTGGCAAAATGTAATCATTGAATCAGATGCTCAAAAGGCTGTGCATGGTGTAAATTGCCCAGGTGGATGCTCCTATGATGCGGCTTTGTCAGATGATATTAGGGACATGATGGCGTCTATAGCTAATATTTTTATCCAATATGTGCGACGATCAGCGAATAAGGTTGCTCGTGCATTATTGAGGGATAATTATAAATGAAAATTATGTAGTTTTTTTCGGGGGGGGGGGGGGGGGGGGCTGTCAACTGTGCCCCTATTGTAGTATATCAAGAATGTCAATTAAGTCCTCGTACTATAGAATCACCCAATCAAACTCGTAAGTCCTAAACTAAAAAAAAAAAACTCAATTCAACTTTCTAGCTACTCACCAACAAGTTAGTCGGTTACTTTGCTGACGTGGAGGTTGACATGGCCTAAATTCTTCCATGCTAGCCGTTCACCATCAACCTTCACTCCCCACACTCTTTCTTACCCGGTTGGTCACCTACTAAAGCTGAATTGGGTGTTTTTATAGTTCAGGGGTTTGATTGGGTGATTTTGTAGCACGAGGACTTAATTGACATTTTTCATATACTACGGGGCCTATTTCATAGTTTTCCCGACTCAAATCATCATTACCATTACCCCAGTGCCGCAAAGGCTCCCACCTACGGTGGGGTAAGGGGGAGTCGGATGTACGCAGTCTTACCCCTTTACTAAAGCACAGGGAGACTGTTTCCGAATGAACCATAATGAAAATCGCGTCGAAAATTGCATAGATTGACTGCTACTTCATAACAAAAAAGCGCAGACAGTTTAGTGAGCCATTTTGCTTTATTTTGGAATAAAAATGGTAAATGACAAGTAAAAATGGATATTATTTTGGAATTGACAAATAAAAAATAGTAAATACAAAATTAAAAATGATTAATACGGTCTTTAAAAAACCTTACCAAATTGAAACCATATTTTTATTTCAACAAAGAAGTCAAAGTCAAGTTGAGATTTTGCCATTTACCTGCCGTGCATAAGCTACACCTGCCCATTCAGATGATAGGATCAAAAGATTAACATCCTCAACTCCTGTTGGAGGCCCATTACGGAGCAGCTAGATACATTTTGCAAAAATTGAATAATTTGGTCAGAATAGGCACGCATGTTTAGCCACACTAAGTGAAACCTGAAGAACTATACCGGAAACAGGAAAAGACACCCTTAATTTCAAACCTTAGATATAGCGTGCTCTAAGTATTCAATAGCTTCTGTAAAGTAGCCATAATGCAATAGTGCCTGCCCCAGAACAGCCATAGCTCTAATGTGCTCGGGATCCTTGTTAAGAGCAAGTCTGATTTATGTTTACACATGCATTCAGGCACCAAAAAAACATAAACAAAAACAAAAATATTCAGAAGTATAAATTACCGCAGAAGTGGGAGAGCCACATCTTTCTGATCCTTTGCTAAGAATTTGCTAGAAAGCTGTATAAATTCCATATCTTTTAATTCCGATATTTATTTAAAAATCCATATTCCATACTACGTAGCACATAGATGGTGACTTACTTGAACCATTTCTGAAGGAGATGGGTTCTCAGAAAGTATCTCACGCAAATCGCTCGGCACATATATTTCCATTATCTCAGATTTACCTTTCCGTTCTGTGGCTAATGCAGAAGCATCCTGACCAGGTAGCCCCAATTTCTTGCAAACATCTGGATGGCTTAAAGCTATTTGCTTTACATCACATCATAAAGAGTTAAAATGTAACTAAGTTACCAATATGTGAAACAATAATACACATAGTAGCTCCTGGTTGAGCAGTTCAAAGCCCAAAAAAGGACTGTGGAAGTATGTTGACAGCCATTTATAAAGCCATCTAAAAATGAGCAGGATTTACTCAGCACAGGTGTATGACTATTAGATGGTAGTAGATGCCCTTATAAGATACAACTCATAGAAAGACATACAGACAGTTCAGTACATGTCCAAACTTACACACATAGATATTGTTATTAAAGGCAGGTTGATGCAGAAGTTTCAAACTCAGTAATGTAAAAGATAACTATTTATAGAAATAACATCCATTTATGCATATAATTGATATTTAACTGGATCAGGACTGTTTAGTAAATTAATACATCATGCACCAAGCACTAAAATGTGAGGTGTAACAATGCTCTCTAGATACTATTTATACGCAATATTGGCAATTTTTAGAAAATACAAAGAAAATTAACTCAGTTTCAGTAAACTGGACTCTTTCTATGTAGTGAGCATATGATAGTGAGCATATGAAAATTGAGGATGAGTACAGCATCATAGATAAAAATTATTAGGTTCAAGTTTTAAAGTTTGCAGAGAAGTTTGAATTTTGTGTGACTTTCTATGTTATCCGGAGATGAGAAATACCTGAAGAAGACTCAATGAGCTATTTGTAACCCAACATATTAAGCTCCCCTGCAAAAGATAGAGAAAATGTAAAAGCTCTTATATGTCCATTAGAAAAAACTTAAGAGTATTATTCAAAAGAATTATATACAATTTGCAGAGAAAATATGTCTCGTTATTATGTTTTATTCCTATCGAGGCACTCTAGAATTTTATATACAATCAGTATATCAATTCAAGTATAAATGCATTAAGATCAAATATAATTACTATGTCTGCCTGGCTTAGTCTGTATAACAGAAGAGTGCATTGTCTCATCAATTTTACATAACTTTCAAATTACTTCCCTGCATGGTTGCATGGCTGCAAATGACGATTCCTGAGAATTGTCTCCTTAGGAAAATAAAAAATTAAATACTTGGACGCTAACTAAAGCTCATTTTTGTAGGGCCGGACATGATCCATGTTATTGTGAAAGGTGCATGCACCTCTTGAATACGACACACAACTAAATGACGAATATGGATAAGCCTCATAAGTCATAATCCAATGCAAATTCACCTTCTCTAAGGGATAAGCCTCTCAAATAAGAAGTTGTTATTGTTGTATTTCCTTTCTCTTCTAGTTGTGTTACTCGCCAAATGTTTAGGCCTAAAACACGTGGTAGATTTAGATGGCATTGATCATTGATGTGACATATTTTCCGCTTCTAGTTTAATATTGGGGGAATTTGACTTTGCACCCCATTTTCAAAAAACTTTGATTTTGCACCCCATTCCACTTAAAATTTCTTTGTCTTTGCACCCCATTTAGAAATTTTTCTTCACAAAATGTTGTTGTTGGGGTGCAAAATCAAAGTTTTTTCAAAATGGGGTGCAAAGTCCAATATCACCCAAAAAAGTGGGGTGCAAAGTCAAATTCCCCCTTTAATATTTGGGTTCATCAGCTCCACAAGCCCCACTAACAAGACCCCGTTGTCAAACCTACCCTTCAAAGACCAACTTTATCATTCTTCCCACCAACTTTTATTACTATCATCAATTTAAGTTAAAAAGGGGACAATCAGATCGCATGCATTATATCAGTAATTCAGAGCACAGTTGCATTTCACGAAACCATATCATTCAACTTTTTGATAGAGATGTCCAGATTACAGAAAGATATCAAGAAATCAAAGTGAACTTTATTAGAGAAGATGAAAAAGAACAGTAATCGTAACAAGAAACTGGCCGAAGCCTCCAATGAGCCGAAGCCCCCCAAAAGAAAGAGATTAGCTCTCGATCTTCCCAAGTCCCAAATGACAAAGTCTAAAACAGCCTCCTCAACTCCTCCCAGCTCTCTTCTATTTATGCTAACTAATACACTTATTGGTTTATACTCTAATAGGCCCGGTCCTTTATTATTATTATTAGTCTATTAGGCCTGGGTTCCTATCAATACTCCCCCCCTAAACATCCACCTTGCCCTCAAGGTGGGTGATAGGACACCGCCACAATCTTCTTCTTTTCTTTCATCCTAGCACCTCTCCCTTTCCAATACTGGATGGATTTCTGGATTCTTAGCTCGGCTGCTTCCATCTTCTTCCCTATGCCTTTCAAAACAGATTTACACCGCTGCCAGGACATTTTGTCCAGAAATTTGACTCTTTCCGAGTTCTTGGTGGTTAGGGCCCAGCCATCTGCAACACCGAGTACATCAACTTCCTGCTCTTGAACATTTCCTTCTGAAATATCGATATATAACCCATGAGATTTCAGTAATTTTCCTTCTCCTTTAGTATTTATCATCCCCTTCATCTTCTTGTCAGTTTTCAGTTCTCTTAATAAGGGATCTCCATGTATATTTGCCTTCTGCCCATGTACCTCCCATTGGATGGTCTGATTCTGAAAGTTAACTGCCATATCTCCTAGGCCAGCTAACCAATCCATTCCCAGCATGACATCAACTCCACCCAATTGCAGAATGTAGAATTTCTGCAGAATTTCATTTCCTTGTACATCCACTGTCAACTCATCACACCTACCATAGTTGGAAAGGAAATTCCCATTCCCTAGCTGCACTTTATTCCCTTTAATGTAATTAAAAGGTATCTTCCATTCCTCAACAATCTTCTGTGAAATGAAATTGTGAGTAGCTCCACAATCAATCAAGATATTCACTTTCTTTTCCTCAGTCATCCATTTCAGATTTCCCAGGACATTGAATGTTCTCATGGGTGGTGTTTCTCCTTCGTCCAATACAGATAATTGCATAGTCTTAGCTTCCATATGTATTCCTTCTTCTTCTTCTTCTTTATCTTTACTATAATCAGTATCAGATTCCTCCTCACTTACAGATTTTTCTACCAGCATCATTTTAAAATTCTTCATTCTACAAATGTGACCCCGGTTCCAGTTTTCACCACATTTAAAACATAATCCTCTTCTACTTCTTTCTTGCAGCTCATTCTGTGATAATCTGGGGTTTGTAGTCTGCTGAACTGAGTTTGAAGATTCCTCCTTCTTCATATCATCAACTGAATAGTTGCCAGATGGATTCTTGGTTGTGTAGCTATGACTTGCATATATAAGTTTATTTCCATGGCGCAGAGGCCATATGTGTGCCTCATGGCGCATGGCTACAACTGAAGGTCTGAAACAAACTTAATTGTAGTAGCCAGAGTTTTTGACCCAAGAAAGAGGAGTATCAACAATTCAATACAACTTTTTTAGAAGGGATAAAAATAATCCAATTCAAAAAGCAGGAGCTTGCACAGTTGCATGCAAGTCCATCACAAATGAGAGAGAGTGTCTTGATACTTCTCTGTAGCACTGGCACAACGAGACAATATGAAGAAATCAAATAAATGCATTAAATTCAAAACAAGATTATTTTAATAGTCTAATGTTCCTTCTCAAAATAGCACTAATATGTTTGGTATTAGCTTCACCATTTTTTTTGTGATACTTGCCACATAAAGTTGCCCCTGCCCTTAAGAACCTTGTTCCATTATTCAAATCCGACAACTCAACTACCATTGAGGTGTGACGGCACTAAAGTCGCTTGTGCCTCAAAATAAATTCATTACTAAAGTTAATGCCGTAGTATAGCGTAGTGGAGCTCGTATCCACAAGGGAAAAGTGCTTTTAACGTGTGTGTAAACGTAAGAAAACTAAATAAAAGGCAAGGGGGTTTGAATATTGTGATAGTTGAGAAAGCAAATAAAACACTAAGATGAATGAATTAAAGTACAAAGGTAAACAACATTGGTTTTGCTATTTTCCTCTTAGTGAAGTGCTCGTTTATCACGGTTACTACTTACACTCTCCCCTTTTGAATACTTAATTGTGGAGATTAGATCGTCTATTTCATCAAGGGTAGTTATTGATAAGGAGATGTGTTCCTTAATAACCCTTACAATTAATTAGTCAATATAAAACAAGCGTCATATATTGATCGTAATAGTAGTTTCCGGTCGATTTAATGAAAACAATTAAGAGCGATAACTCGTAACCCAGGGCGAGTATTCTCAGGTCCAGTTATTGTATCTAATTCATCCATTGGTCATCTAATGAAATTAATTAAGTTTGATAACCTCAACATAAGCAACTTTTTTATTTAACCAATATAACTACTTCATCTTAGATTATTAACCATGAGATGCATGCATTAGTAATCTAATAAATAGCACTAATAAATAGCACATATCAAGGTGCTTGGGGAGGGGGCAATGGAGGATCAAGAGAGCCTATGTATACATACCTGGGGAATATAGAATGCAATGAACATTGTTGGTAGTGTCATAATTTCCAGATAAAACTTGTAGAACTGCATCAAGGCATACATTGATACATTTATCGGCATGTCACACAAACATCACCATGAAATATACCACTCTCTCTATTATATATGACCATAATGACACACACACCGACACGCGCAAATATATGTGTGTGTGTAATTGTGTATGTCTTATATTATTATATATACACACACACACATATACACACGGTCAACAGTCACATAGATACATACATACATACAGTCATACATACATACACACGCGCGCATATATGCATACATGTGTGTGTGAATATATATATATACACACACACACATTATATGTGTGTGTATATATGTGCAACCAATGGGAGCCTGGCACCAAAGCAGGGATTTCGAAATAGAGGCTCAAAAGAGCTCTAATTTAAAAGCTACCTTTAATCAATGTAAGATGCATTTATATCTTTCCACACATATTAGCTTCTCAGCTAGCTTCTCAGCTCAGTGTGGCAGCTTGGCTATATAAGCAATGTCAATGTACTCTGGTTTATATGCACATGGAATTTAGCCCTAGGATTGTGAAACCAACTTCTCCACATTGCTTTAGTTGCCCATGTTACATTTTGTGCCTATATGGCTATTTAAGGCATGGCAATGTACACTCCAATATATCAATCAATATAAAAACAACATTCCCATTCTCTATAACAAATATGAATTCTACGCACGGATGGCTAACTTTCAGTAACAATGAACTCAACTTTAATTTAATAAACTAGACTTCCAAAAGTTTGACAAATAACTAGCATCCATTATAGTAATATTGCACTGCTCATTTTAATCCGAGAAAATAACTAGAAATATGTAACAAGCAAACATAACTAATTGCTATAGTATTCACAACAGCAAATCAAGTTTAGACCTTGGCAAATTCGCTCATGGTCCCGCTGGACACATTCTGAAAAGAAACCTGAAAAGGTAGATCCATTTGACATGTAAAAATATATTCAACCAAGGGTAACCAAACTAGCACAAAAAACAAAGAGAAAGAAAACGTCTAGCGCAACTAAAAGTAAAACAAATCAGCTTTGTCAAAATTTGCTAGGTTATATTTTGACTGCTGAACAAGTTAAACCACCCAATCTAGGGGGTATACTCCAAATCATCATCATCATTACCCCAGTGCCGCAAAGGCTCCCACAACTTCGGTGGGGTAAGGGGGTCGGATGTACGCAGTCTTACCCTTGTACTAAAGCACAGAGAGATTGTTTCCAAATGACCCAAAGTGAAAATCGCGTCGAAAATTGCATGGATTGATTGCTGGTTCATAACAGGTCATCTGAATGTTGATACCAGTATTTTACTTTATAAATATTTTTAGGGAAATACTTTAAAACAGAAGTACCTTAATGTTAGTATAATACAAGCCAGCAACCAGCAAAGGGAATATGAGGCCTAAAGTACCATTTGGAAGTTCTGTCAAATTCTGAAACCATAGAGTTCCCCCCTGCACCAATTTGAAAAGGGAAGAAAACATTAACATTACCTATCAGAAAATATAAAAAATTCTATTTGACATATAACTAAAAGAAGCTAGACGGCAACCTAGATCATAATAAATAATAACGGCAAATCAGCAACACCAACAGCAAAAATAGTAATGAGAACAATGGTAGTTCACCTTTGAAAACCCACTGCCAAGGTTGCATATTGAGCCATAATTTGTTCTTGACAAAACGATATTGAAACATTAAACTTTTAATCTCTTATGGAGTATAGACCCAAGGTTGCATGCCAAAGCAGACACAATTATCTTCCCCATGTCTAATAGGAGGCACAAAACAATGTGTAAACACCTAATGGCTATCTTCAATTAATGTGGGCTTTACAAATGAAAAGGCTGACCTGGTTATGATCTTTTGGCGTTTGTTATACAGGTCAAACCTTTAAGAGAATTTGGTAAATGGAGTAAAATCTGTCACAAGAAAGATAACTGAATTGCTTAATTTTTACAGACCTTGTAAATTTTCATTACAACTTGAAATTATCATTCCCAGAAACGGCCAAATTCAGACCTTAATGTAGGCATTACAAATACAACAATTCAGACCAACTCGAGCAATATATCTATGCATAAGGTCCTTACACTATCAAAGCCATCATGACAATCAAGTGACATTCTTCTTATAGTTGTGAGCCATAGCAGAAAATAGGGGACCTGCCAAATGAAAAAGATCATAAACTCTTTGACTGAATATGTAGACACACACATGCTAAATGAAATTTTAATTAATTGACATGTTTGAATACAAATTGCTATTTTATTTTAATTAACATGTGTGCATACAAATTGTAAATACATTAATTGACACGCACACAAATATGATTTGGCACACACACAAATATTAAAATACATTATTGCATATGTCTAACACTTAAGTGAGAAGAAAATCATGTGGTAAAATATTTCAGGAAACTGCAGTTTTAACAGTTTGCACCCAACAAACAACATCCAGTCAGAAACAATATACAGTTTGACTTAAATTTATATTGTGTTTCTAGCATGCTTGATAAAAAAGTAAACGGTTAAAAGAACTAATGCAACTAAAAAAGAATGGAAGGATATGATGTAACTAGATCTCTTCAACTCGGTACACAATATACACCTATATAATGATGCTATATGCAGTAGAGACTAGAGAATACGGATAGAATTTGTCTATCCTTTGGACCGACTTCAGCTTGATTAAAGCATACACTCCACATGATTTTGCTTTCCATTATAACCATTTGCATTTAAGTAGGTAGGTCTTAAAAGCATTAATGAATCATCGCAACACATGGGGGATTTTCCCAACTAGGGCTACTCTGCATAATATCATACCCCAACCGTGAACAAAAATAAATTGCAAACTAATCCTGCATTGAAGGTTAAAACACATTTCTCTTCCTTACTGCATTTGTTTATTTTCATTTTGAGAGGGTAAGACATAAGAGGTGTATCACACACCCTGTCAATTTGAACAGATTTAGTTAATCAGAAAATTAATGGCATCGCTCATATCTCCTTACAGCAATATAGCAACTATAATTGCAAGGTATTTTAATTTCACAATATTTGATAATTTGAGTAAGTATGTTGCAGTAGAAACAACAGTTTCAAAGCTTTTGCTTTTAAGGTAGTTTTCTGTTTTTTAGTTGCTGAAGTGAACAAATAAACACATACGACAACAACAACATCCAAGCCTTATTCTCAAAAGATTTTGGGGTCGGCTAACATGAATCGATCTATGATATCATATTTCGATTCATGTCATGTGATGTGACCAAGTGATATTCACGCGCCTACCACACCACCCTCCTCTTTATCCTGGCTTGGGACAAGCATGACACCAAAATGATCCTATGGCGGAGTTTGAATAAATAAACACATATACACACAAAATGAAAAATACATTAGAAACTAAATCAACTACTATGTATGACTTGAGAGAGTGAGTGCAATATTCTATTATGTTAGGCATACAATAGTTAAGAAAAATCTTACCTGGATAATAGCTGCAATGAACCATACAAATGAAGGGCATCCAGCTGTTCGTTTCTCTCGCATGAAGAATTTTAATTGGTCTTTGAAACTCCTCCTTAACTTGTTCGGTGGAATTGGAGGGGGCACTTGAGGAGAGGGAAAAAAAAATGTTAAACACATGCGTTACTTTCATATCTTTACAATAATGTCAATAAGTGAAGAAACGATAAAAAGTAACCCCTCCCATTTTATAGGCCCAACTGGTTTTTGGACATTTATTAAGAAAACAAATGATATGTGGTTGGTTTTGCTGTTTTATCTTTAAAAGGTGGGTACTGGGTAGCTTTTGTAAAAAGTTGTGACAATGGGTTAGTATGGTAAACCAATAAAGGGCAAGTTGAGCAAGGGGGGGAGGGGAGGGGGGAATTAGGGGAGCTCAAAACAAGAAAGTGAGCATAGTTGTGGGACAATCAAGAAAATAAAGCGGGACTTAACATGACTAAGAGATTCATCATCATCATGATCACTACCCCAATGCCGCAAAGGCTTCCACCAACTGTGGGGTAAGAGAGGGTCGGATGTACGCAGCCTTACCCCGTACTAAAGCTCAGAGAGACGGTTTCTTCCGAATGACCCATAATGAAAATCATGTAGAAAATTACATGGGACTAAGAGATTAATAGTTAAAAATTGCAAGCTTTTCAACCAATTGCATTTCTTGTCTTCCCCTGAGCAATAAGATCAAACAAGGTGTTCTAAATAATTAATATTAATATAAATACAAAGCCTCACGTTTTGGTAATATCTCTCCAATTGTCCGTATCTTGTGTATTAGCAGTATTATAAATGGAAATATTGCAAGTCGCATTGCCAATGTCCCAGAAGCTATAATAATCCACCTACAAAATCAAAGGGTTGCATATAGATAATTGCAATTTCAAAGTGGCTCAAAGTAAAGTACTAAGCCAGAGAAAATACTGAAAAAATGAGTACAGCTTGAATCGCGAGGAAGTGATGGAAACACAAATAGTCAAAACTCAAAACTCAATTACAAAATAACAAAAGCAAAACTGAAAAGACGATAATTCAAGAATTGGCCATCTTTTCACTCACCATGGGAACCCCGTGATATTGTGGTAGCCGTCCAGCAACGAAATTAAACCACCAATTGGAAGAAACATGTCTTCAAAACTTCTGGTATCAAGTGCGCCGCCGCCAATAAACATATCAGACCCCTTAAAGGGTTGGGGAGCCGGAAAATTCCCATCTTTCAGCGGATGATCTGCGATTGAGGAGGGCTCGCGAGTTGAGAACGAACGAGCGAAGAAATTGAATCGGAAAGGCGCTAGAAACTGCTTATCAGTGGCAAAAGAAGATGGCAGTACCGATGAGTGGTGAGAACGGTGCAGCTTTCGCCGGTGATCGGAACTAAAATTTTGAGTGAAGGAGTAAGAAAAGTTGTATGAGGGTGGGAATGACTGAAAGCGGGTGAAAAATTGCCTTCGAAGGAGTATCCGCATTGCCATTTCTGAAAAATCAGTTTCTTCAAGTTTTCGTAATGTCAGCGAGGTTGTCTAATCTTTATATATATATAAATGAAGATCGTCTATCAATGAACTGTTCCCGCCTAGAACGGCTTCTGCCACATCATCATGTTTTGCCTGTACATACCATTGCTTATTATTATCTTTACAAAATAAATAAATAGTTTAAATCCTGTGAGACACGCATGGCACATAGCAGTTTTTTAAAGCGGTTGCATCCTTAACAGTTCTGGAAATAATCTCCACGTTTCAGCCCACCCACTATGACACAACTCCATCATCCTGTATTAATAAATAACACCCATTTCAGACTCAAACGACAATTGCAATTTCTTTCAAAAGTGTGGGAGTACTTTTCGATACAAGTTTATATTTATCAATTTCACTTTCAACATTAATTTGCTTCAATTTTGTTTCAGAGTTGCCGCTACATCAGGAGACCAAGTTGTCCAACAAAATCTATGACCTCAACTCATCAAAACCAAACTGGCCAAAAGAGAGTGAGGCTAATCCGTTTTTATGTTCTACCAGCATACAACAACAAGGCTATTACAAACTGAATGGAATGAATTTACCAAGATGATGAGGTACAATTTGATACTATATAGAATCATCCTTATTTTGAACTTTACATGCCAATACAACTAATCATAGTAGTCATGGCACATGGCGATCGCCATGGCTCAAAGGCATTTTTCATGGCGCATGGCGATGGCGCATATACAAATGGCGCATAAAGCGCATATGGCGCTATGGCGACGACCAATTTTTCATGGCGATGGCGCACATGGCGCGCGCCATATCCAGCCATTGACTACTATGCAACTAATTATTTTGAAACTCTAATTACTACGGATGTCAAAACTAATTCGTTAATTATGGATGTCACTGGAAGCATAAGATCCATGAGACATCCATACCCCCACCCCAGTCCACGAGAATTAAAAGGGGACTGCCAAATCTCATCAAGATTGTTCTTGAAGATGTGAGGTACGTTTGTGTTCGGCTGAAGGGCTGTCAAGGATGATAATGTTGCAAAAGGAACTCCTAAAAGAAGCAAAGAAAGCGTGCAGGTGAAGATTGAAAAGTTCTGAAGCCGTGAAGATTAACCCTCTAGGATATTTAGCCCACTTCTATTTATAACTAGACTATTTTCTATACATGATTTCCCTAAATTGTGTTTTGCAACAGTAACGCTGTTTACCCTTATTTAAGTTTCTGGCTATTCCTATATTACGATTTCTCTAAATTGTGTGTACAGCACAATCTCTGTCATGTCTTATGTAGTATTTCACGCTTAAAGTAATAGGTATAAATTGATTTTGGTATTTCGCGCTTAAAGTTTCATGTGTATGACTTTCTTAGTATTTACCCTTAAACTTTATTATTCATATGCACCAAGAGTGAGCACTTCAGAAAAAGAATTCTATAATGAGTGATGATAAATATATACTTATTAATATGAAGATTAAGTTAAAAACATTAATAAAACTAGCAGTTCATTAAAAGATATTTTCAGCCTTTGGTACTATTAAAGGTGAAAAGTAAGTTAGGTATATTGAAATAATTATAAATTGAGGTGAAGAGGATCGTACCTGAATTTTTAGCTGATCAAACAAAGCGCCCTGCATTCCCTTCTAACCTAATTAAAATTACATTTGACTTATAAATATTACATCTGACTTGTGATTATAACACAACAGGGCACCATAGAATGAATAAAAGACTCACCAAATGCTAAAAAAAGTATTGTTATTAGCTAATGATCCATGGATCCAATATATTTTTTAGCTCATGCATCCATGGATATATTTTTAGCTAATAATCCTTCTATTTATTTTAGCTCATTTTAGCAAATATAGGACTAAAAGTCTCACCAAATGCTAAAAAGTATTGAGATTAATATAGAAGATTTATAAAACAACAGCATGTATATGAATTAGATGCAAAACCAGATCTGAAAAGTTAATACAAAAAATATTGGTTATTTCTTATTTGATATGGAGCATTAGACTTTTTTTTAAATATGGAGTAAAAGACTTAATTCATCCCGGAGGGTGAATGAATATTCAGAGCATCTAACATCCTCGCCCATGGACTCATGAGCTGTAAAGACATAAATAGGTTCGCAAGGATTAAAATATTTTCAGTATAAATTTGTAGTGAGAACAATCAACAATCATGTGAAAAGAGCTACTCTCAACTTCTCAAGAAGAATCTGAATGTGCTTTTGAGGCTTAACCCGTATGCTAAGACTGCCATGAGGATGGCCCTTTTGGCCAAATGTGAAAATTCGTTTTTTAGTTTCTTCTATACATGTACGGAGTATATCATATCACACGCACACACACAAATCGGATTGTAGAAGAACGAAATAGATCTCATGTAAATTTTTAGACAAAAAGATTACCAATTCTGCATATGAGTGGCGAAATCATTCCCTCTTCACATCTTCTTCCGCTACCTAAGACAAGGGAGAGGTGAAAGAAAGAAGAGTTCGGTGAATGAATCTGAAGAATTCTGGAGCGTGTGAGTAGGGGATAACTTCCGATAGTTGACTTCAGAATCTCGTTGGGGTGGTGTGTAGTTGAAAGTGCAAAGTAGGTAGAAATAAGAATGGTAAAAATTGTGTAGTTGAAATTTGTGTAGATGAGAGAAATGTGGAGAACCACAAATTAGTTGCTTTAATTAGAAAGAGATAAAGTTTTTTGGGACAACCAAAAAGAGAAATTTGGCAAAGTCCAATGAGACAGAGGGAGTATTACTTTTACCTTTTAGCTTTCTTATTCTCTTTTATCTTTCTTGTGCTCTTATAGTATTGTTATCTTGTACATTTATTTATCTTTATTTTATTAGTTTTATCCCTTTTTTTCGTGTTTGTCTTTCCTTTTTGACATCGATATCATGGATCGATTCATGTTAGTCAACCCCGAAATCTTTTGGGACTAAGGCTTGGATGCTGTTGTTGTTGGTGTATGCACTATGTGCGAGTTGTGCCCAAATGTAGAAAAAAAAAATTACTGGGAAAGGATTAGTAATTACACAAGTTTAATTAATTGATTTATATAAATATGGAACATTGCTTTCTTGCGTAGAATGTGCAGATTAAAGAGTAATATGATATTTTGTTCGAGGATAATATGTTATTCAAGAATCTGTAGGAAAAATAAATGCTATATTATACCATTATTGTTGATATTAGGCAATAGGTAGGACTTACCATTGTGTATTGCTTATAAAAATATCCATTTTATATATGTTAACAACATATTTATATAGCATTTCCTTTGGTGTGATTGTAATCAAGATTAATCAATACATGATCTATGAAGACAACACACTTAGGACAAGTTTACTTCACAGGTTACTAAACAGTGCTTATTAAGACTCGTGTTAATAAGCGGCGCATAAAATAAGCAGTATTGTAAGATCATGTTACTTCAAAGGATTTAAAATGTCCAAAATAACCATATACATATATAGACACACAAACATTCATGAACACAACTATATAATATAATATGTGAGGGTCACCTCATACGCGTACCCACACCTTAACCCCTACCCTACACCCTCAATTCCACACCCTTGACCCCTAGGGGGTAAAGGGGTAAAGTCGGGGTACGGAAAGGGTACTGGTTGGGGGTTGGGGTGGGGGTATGATCAGGGGTAGGGTAGGGGTATGGGTTGGGTTGGGGTGGGGTCGAGGTAGGGGAATGTGGTAGGGGTATATGGATAGGGTCAGGGTAAGGGGTGATGAGGGGGGTAAGGGGGTGGGGGTGGGGTCAAGGAAGGTGGTAGGAGTTAAAGGGGTAGGGTACAAGGGTATGACTTTGGGGTGGGTGTGGGGTATGGTCAGGGGTAGGGTAGGGTAGGATAAAGGTAAAGTAGGATGGGTAAGAATGTGGTCTGGGTCGGAGTAGGGTTAGGGTAAGGTAGAGCGGGTTGGGTAGAGGGGTAGTTAGTAGATGGAGTAACAATGAGGTAAGGGTAAGGGTAAATTCGGGAACTGAAAAAATTTAAAGTGCCGTTTAATTAATATGTGTGGGTGGTATGCTTAGAGAATCTCCAATAAGGATATGAATTGCACCCCCTAAAAAATGGACATGTCATCAATTTAAACAGCCCGTGCAGCTTAAGTGGATACATAGTCATTGTGAATAAAGTTTCCGCTCCAACCCAATTGTGAATCTAAATAATTGGTCCTACTTGTCTATACCTAAAAAAGAGGCGCAAGGGCTGTTTTATGTAACTGCTTTTCAAACCTTCTTTCATTGAGAATAGCCGCGGCTTCCAGGTATGTACACATATTGTTTTTTTGTTTCTCACCCCCCCCCCCCCCCCCCCCACACACACACATATATATATATGAAGCTTACACTTAAATTAGAGGGGAAGCATAGATATGTCATGCAATCGTTTCATCTTCTCAATTTTGCTTATTTACAATTTGTTTTTCATAAATATTCCATCTTAGAGGGGGGAAAACCTTATAACACATGCGTACTCAAATTGTGATATTTGAGGTTGATGTCAAGGATGTAGTTTAATGGTAGGTGGAGTGCCGAGTGCGTCAAGCTCAAATCCTGGTAACCATCGGTGTTTGTAAGTTTTAAGTGGAGCATTATGATTAAAGTTAATTTATTTCTCCTGTTTTTGTATGTGGTTTACAAATCTACATAATTTCTTTGTCATTTTGTTTTTTAAGAGAATCACTTTGAACTGAAACTCTATGTTTTGTCCAGTAAACTCGAAACATGAAATAATAACACAATTAGTAAGAATAATTGAATTATGTACGTAGGAATAGTTATTGAATAATAACACAAGAAACAGTTTTAGTGCAAAAGTATGAAGCTTGATGTACGTACATAACTTAATTATAAATAAGTGACAACTGCTAAGAACTTTTATGCATATGGTACTACTATACATTTATTAGGTAACAATATTGGTCATTAAACATATTCTCTAAATTGTTTTTTTAAAACCATTTATCTAAAAGAAAGGAAAAACGTGTATTTTAATCTAAGACCAACTTGTTAGAATATTGTTTGTGTAGGAATGTTTTTCCCCTAATTTGTACGTATGAATAAGAAAATCATTGACTGAAATGTGAATGTGAAAAATGAAATAAAAGGGACTACATTGAATGCGGCGTGCTTCGTGTTAAAATTTCATTCATGAGTATAGTTTTGTAGGGAGTTGAAAATATTTCATAAAAATGCAATACAATTCAAACGATTTGTTCGAATCAATATATAGTAAAATTTTTAAAAATTTAGAAGTACTTTAAAAGAAGAAGAAGTTGTGATTGCGTTTTAGAAGTACCTACAAAAGAATCTCCCTAAAGAGAGACCATGTTAGTGACTATTTTTAAAAGTTTAAATTATTAGTTGGAACAATTATAATTTTTTTTTGTGTTCTAATTACGTATTTGAATGACATTTTGATGTTTATTTCACATAGTGTTTATTTGTTGTCTAAGTTTAGAGTAATATGTTTCCTATAATATAACAATACCAACATTCAAGCCTTAGTCCCAAATAAAAATTGGGGTCGACTAATATGCAACACATAATAACGTACCCAAAAGGAAAAGAAAGATAAAAGGATAAGGTATGATAAAAAAAAGTGCCACAAATAGACAATATATTTGTATTTTTTTATTTGGGCCAATTGAAAAGAAAAACACAGTCCGGGAACATCATTCAGACATGGCCAGGGTCGATCTCCGGATTTCGGTTCGGTTTTTCTCACCCATAGGTTACATTATCAATCACATTAGTTAGATGCACGTTCTACCGGAGAAGTACATAGTTAGGAACAAATTCGGAGGCATTTTGGCAAACGACATAGTTAGGAACAAGTTCGGAGGCATTTTGGCAAACAATATGGAGGCAATACTTATGGGCACTGTTTAAGAGCAATTTTGAAATGTACAAAGAATTGTAAACTTACGTGTACAGATCAATTATTTTGATTTGTTTTTGTTGTTTGTGAACAATTGTGAAATTAAATAAAAAGTTTACATGAAATTACATCCTTTCCTAAATTTTATGGTAACACTCTTTTTAAATGCATATGAGTTCTTTGGAATAATAAATTGAAGTGTGATTAAAAAGAAGAAAGTATGCAGCCATGTTATAGATGAATTGTAAAAAAAAAAGTATTATAAAGAAATAAGTGCAGGCCGGGCATGAGATTTATATACTCCGTATTCGAACTTAGAAGAAGTTGCATTCTGAAACGAAAAGTGGAAATGATAGGTGATAAAATTGCCAACAATACTTGTTTATTTGGCGGAGTGCCGGAGAATCAGGATGAATTAAAGGCATCCTTCGAAAATGCATGTGAGACTCCGTAATTTTTTTGAAGCCTTTGTCATTCATGGCTTTTAGATAAGTGGAGACCCAATTTGAAGAGACGTGTAGTTTAGGAGGCCGTTTAGGTAAACGTTAATTTCGAATGTTTTTATTGACGGAAAAGGTAAGCAGTGGATGGAAAAAGGACCAAGCTAACCTATGTTGGCTTTTATTATTTAAGCGGGGATAGAATTGGATCGAGCCATCTACGTAGATGGGCCGATGGATCAGGCTGGTACATAGATGGGCCGATGATTTGTATAAAAATGTAAATGTAGGCATACACACATATATGTGTGTGTAGAGACCCAATAAATATTAACAGTAATAAATTATGAAAAATATTATAAAAAATCAATATATTTGTTTTTTTTACCCCGGAATGTAAACCACCCATATGGTGGGGCAAATGCCGAGGGACATTTACCTATGTTTTATTAATAGAGTATTGAGAACACCAAGAGAGGGGGACCAGACCAATACCTCTCAACAATAAAAAAACATGGCAACTGAAAACAGAAAACAGGCTGAGGGGGCTATACCTGACCCAGCCTAAACCAAACACTGCATAAATTAAAATCTGAGAGAAGGGATCCCCAAAAAACCCATCCAATAGGCCCTTTTAGCCTGAATTGGAAGAGCATTTGGACTAACAAACTTGCCCATCATTGGAGAAAGGCCCAATGCTAAAAAATGTGCAACCCAATAAAATCAATATATTTGTATTTAGTGAAAAAATAGAAACAATGACTGAAATAATTAAAAGTTGAAAAATGTCAGTCTTGTTATATAGTGACCGTGGTACATAGTAATTTTAGTGACTCTTATTATGTCCAAGTTTAAACATCGTAATCATGAAAGTATGGTCACGGTAAAAAAAACTCAAAAAGTAATATTTAAAAAATAAAATAGCCATCCTACGAGGTACACTATGTAAAATGATTTGTTAGTTTCAATATGTTTTAGTTTTCTTAAGTTAAATTTTATGGACTTAAAAAATAATTATTCGTACACATACACACAATAAGCTCACTCTATGTAGTTCAATAATATTTTTTCACTGTAAATACATATGTCTAATTAGTGTTGTATTTTTATTGGTGTGATTCTATTTTGATTTGTACCACCAATATGTTGTTTTGTTTTAACATTTCTGTCATTTTTTGTTATTGTGCCATTAAAAATAAAGAATTAGTAGTTCAATTTAGTGTT